GAGAGAGAGAGAGAGAGAGAGAGAGAGAGAGAGAGAGAGAGAGAGAGAGAGAGAGAGAGAGAGAGAGAGAGAGAGAGAGAGAGAGAGAGAGAGAGAGAGAGAGAGAGAGAGAGAGAGAGAGAGAGAGAGAGAGAGAGAGAGAGAGAGAGAGAGAGAGAGAGAGAGAGAGAGAGAGAGAGAGAGAGAGAGAGAGAAAGAAAGAAAGAAAGAAAGAAAGAAAGAAAGAAAGAAAGAAAAGACCACCCTGTCCAAGACCAGGACAATTCAGGGAGCGCATGAGCAGGCCGGAGATGAACAACGCCCGAGACAGCTCGCAAAATAGTGCAGAAGGAACATCAAAACCGAAAGCAATTCGTGGCGGTTCCGCCAGCACCACACGAGTCGAGGCAACAATATGTGGCAAGACAACAGTCCTAAACTTCCAGGAGAGAAGGACAAGACCACATCAACAAAAAGAGCAGTATACCTGCAAAGAGACAAAAAGAAAAGGACCGTCAGAAAACCCCATACCGCCACCGAGATGAATCACGCAGGTGGGACACAAACGAAACCACCTGATCACCAAACAGATGGTAAGAGACTCTAGTCAAAATTGCCAGACATGAAGACTCGAGGAGAAGACCGAACCAGCCCCGTCAGGGACCAGACCGATCGTTAGAAAGAGGTGGAGCCGTGGGAAAATCCCTAGGTGCGGACACCAAGAAGGTAGCGCCTGAAACCAAGGCTGTCAACAAACAAGAAGGAACGTCCGCCAGGAAACCAGGAACCCAAACCCAGCAAGTCTATTTAAGAACCAACCCGGGCGAGTAGACACACCTCGTCTGGGAGGAACCCCCTTCCTCCTGGGACCCCTGAAGGACCAACAAGACCAATAATAGATAATAACAAGAAGCTGCTGCTTACAAAAATTGACAAATCACAGATTCTGCAAACAGCAAGGACAAAATGGCGACGAATACTTTAAGAGTCAGAGGCCCAGGCAGAGGCCAACGAGGAAGCGAGCACCACGAGCCGAAACCCGAGACACGAAATGAAAAATAGTGGCATAGCAACCAGCTTCAGCAGAGCAGAACAATGCACACATCGCCGAGTAGCGTATGAGAACTACTCAGGACGTGGACTGCACCAAAACAAAAATGTACTGTCAGGAAAAGGCACACACAGAAAAAGCCGTAGCCAGGGCCGTAATCCTAGCACCTCCTGTCCCAACGAAAAGGAACTGCAGGTGCAGGAGCGGTTGCTTGGAATTCTACATCCAACTGCAGATATGGCAACACAGAAGATGGTAGAGACATACAAGGAGAAGATGAAAGAACTCAGTTCTATAACTGAACACTGGGCCTGTTCAGTATCAGGTAACTTAACATGTACATACCTAGCACTAACCTAAAGTATAGCCAATATGCACATACAGTACTAAGATATACAACAATGTGTAGATAGAGGTAGGAAATACGTAAATATGCAATGAAAAGACCTTAAATATGGTCCAAGCACTGATAGCTAGGGACCAGAGAAAATAATCAATATGATAAACCAATAAGACCTAGGTAGCAATTGGGAACGGAATGTACATGATAAACTATACATTGAGAGGCTCCAATCCACATAAAGATGCAGCCAGGCACTGAACGACAGTCAATGAGTGTTAAGATAGAATTGAATGAGTCAATGAAAAGATTAAGTCACTGAAAGACTAACAAAAGGCACATAAATTTGGGGCTTTGCCCCATAGTGTAACGAAGAACAATATATACATATGTACATGGTAAGGTCACGTTAAGATGCACTCAAATTGGCCAATCAACACTACAAACAATATCCAACACTCGTCCAAAAATAGAGAACCAGCGCCTGGCTGAAGTGTCGCCATATAATCGCACCTGTAGAGCATAGGCACTATCGTGTTACAACATGGCTTAGCAGTGTAATATTCTGGGAGTATCGCTAGTGGATTATGTCCAGAGTTGTGTGTGCAGTAGGAGAAGATTAGGTGTAGTATAGAGGTGGAGGCGGTGCCATTATAAGCCACCCCACACCCATATGCAGAGAAAAGAACTAGGCGTTTTCCCCATATATAAAATCCAGAACCCCCCAGAATCTAGGGGGTTATGACCAGAGAGATAAGTTGAGCGAGAGCGGTGTATTACCTGCGATAAAGGATGAGGAGAACACCAACACATGTATTCCCCCGTCCATAAACAAAACGATCACCCTCTGCGCATGCGCAGGACACATGAGGTCCAAGCTACACCACCTGTCTTTCGTGTTGGGTGCCTACAAGGTTTATGTAATGACTATTAGTAATGTTGAGACAGTACGGAGAGAAGATGTGATTATAAAATAATGAGATACAGTATCGAAAGATGATAAGTAGTACTGAAGAGGACCAATGAATCCTATAAATGACTGGAGGTAAGCCTCACCGGAAGTCGACAAGTTTCAATAATTTTTTTTAAGTATCAAAGATCTTCTCGAACCTTCAAGAGCCGTGATAAGCAAGTACAAAATCACAGAGGCTCATATGGGCCCATTGTCATCTATGGCCAATGGTCATGCAGGATTCCAATGCGATTTGAACATGATTGCAACATGATGTAGAAGAATACATGTCCTAGATAAGAATGTTGAGAAAGTGGTTAAAATTACCCACAGAAAGGATGGAACCGATGGATCCGAAGGGACACGGAACCATACCTGGGGAGGGGCCGACGTCCAAACTAACTCATACGCAGAGGGGGTAAAGAAAACCTTACTCTTTGTAACATAAAGCCCCGCTCTGAGGATTGGAAAACCCAGGCGGGGACCAACGGGACCCAAGGCCCCCAAGTCAGCTCCTCCCTAACCCCGGGAACCTCCACATCAGGCTCCCAGGGAAGAGTCATCCTCCAAAGTCCCGGCCTCACGAGAAAAAACTGGGGTAACCGGAAAAGCAGGAAGAGAAGGGGCCACTGATCAGACCCCGGCGCTACGGCACAAGGAATGGACTTGAATGCCTCAGTCGCCACCCCCAAAACTGCCAGAGTCCCAGAACCTCTAAACCATGCCCCAACTCCGAAGCCCTCAGGCGAGTCGGAGTCAGAGGCAAGGGGAAAGGGGGGACAGAACACACCACAGCAGGGGAAGAACGAGGGGTTGCAGACTGAACCAAGGCCAAAGCAGCCAAAACCCCCAAGTCCAGGTCCCTATAAACAAAGGGGGCAGCCTCGAGGCATCCGGGGAAGCAACCAACCTAGCACGTTGCAGCAACCTATTCCTAGCATGCAACGCCTGAGCTTCCCGCACGCAAATGTCATCAGTTGATTGGGTGAATCGAGTCACAAACAAGCAACACTACTTGCAGGACTCAGGGTCGAAGGTGTCACCGACCCAACGGGCAGCATGACGGAGGCAAAACCAATGAGCATTGCCCTGAGACAAGGAGACAGAACAACCCTCAAACTCGCACAAAGCGAGAGGGGATCCAGGAGTCGCATCCATTTGACCCCGTGCACCCCTGCAGAATTTCCTAGGGACCCCTAGACTGTTATCGCTAAGGGTAAGCCCAGGCAGGATACTGCGAACCGGTGCCCAAGACTACCAAACAAACTTCTAAAACTGAACCCCCGGGACGTGTCCACTCAGGGGCCAAACAGGGGGTACCACCAAACCACAGAAGTCAAGACCCTAATATAACTGGGGGCAAGGGACACCAAGGCAGACCCTCTCCCCCACCAGGCAGAAAACAAAGAAAAAAGAAAAACCCCACAAGAGGACATCGTCCCAGGAGGAACAGAGTCGGCTGCTGTCATAGGTGACAACTAACTGTGCAGTACCCCGCACCTCTACTAGTGCAAAAAACTACCACTTACCCAAAGGTAAACAAGGGAGGAAAACCCACCCAACACTCAGGGTGGTCAATTATCAAACAGCAAAAGACCAACAGAGGTAGACCCCAAGGTGACTTGTGGAAGATAACCCCAAGCCCCAAAAGCGGTACTTACAGGGCACTCAGGGAAGGGAACCCTAAGCAAATGCAGCCCGAGTACCTGAGAATAATACTCCCAGCTCACTCCCCACCGTAAGAGTAGTACTGGACACAAGGTACAGCACAACACAGAGAATCTGGAGCTGGAGCCACACAACAGTGCCACAATCACATCAGCCGAAGAACTGAAAGATGGATCGCCGGCACGGGGGTCTGGGGCTTCCCCTTCCCCCTCCCGGGGAGGGGGGGGAGCTGTGCAGACATGAGGTGCAGCTCATGTGACATCATGCTCGTTTGCTCGTTTTCATTTGGCTAGTTCTATCCACTTGTTTGTCTATTTTAGTCGTTCTAACCTGAATAGGGGGTTTGTTTTGAGGCGCTTACCTCTCTGGGTTCCTGGCCCAGTCGATGGCAGACATAGAATACTCTAAATCCCATGTGCATTTCTATAGGCCACTGCTCCTCGTGCCTCTCTGAGGGGGCCAGGTTCTGGCTCGTGGTCCCCGGAAGGACTAGAACTCCATTCGCACTGACTGATGGAAAAGTCTAATGATATACATATCAGCCTGGATAGCTCCAGGGAGCCTCTGGGGCTCCTCCCAGAAAAACTAAGGAAAAATTAGACACATTGAAATAATTAGGTAATAATATCTTTGTGGCAACTCCTGCTCGACAGCTCTGGAGGAGCTGACCGCCTCCGACGCTTACTCTGTCAGTGCCTCAAATATGCCAGACTTCGTCACCCTATTGTGGCCAAAATATGTCGCCTACGATTTCCCATCCCCATGGTCAAGGAACACACATGAACAAATTATAGAAGGATTTTTTTTTTATTATTATTTCTTGTGCCTGGGCGTGTTGCAGACTATAATCACAAGAGCAGCCCAGGGGTTAAGGTAAATAATAGATGCTTTATACTCTTAGAGACAAGCTGTTAGAAAATAACAATTACTGCCCAGGGGCAAAAATATAGTGTTATCAGAAAGGCTCGTATACAAACACTTCAATGTACAATATAGGACAATATAGTAACCTGGATGGTGCGGGCATCAGCGGGCAGGGGTTGTTGCACGAGTGAGTGGAGACACAACTGTCCAACCTGTAAGGTTATCCTGGCGCAGCGCTCGCCTTTTTTGTCTTGCTGGACAGCCACAACCTGGTCAGCCTTCACCGACCCCTCGACGAGCTCACTCCTTGTGCGAAGCTCCTCAACCTGTGGAGGGCCAGTTCATTTATCTTGTGGGTAGTACCACCCTAGATATCTAGCTGTGAAAATGCAAAATGGTTCAAAGACACTTGATAAAATTAGCTTTAATTCATACTGCCAGAATAACAAACACGATAACCTCTAACTTACTGTTAAGTGCTTTGGAGAGATTTCTTCAACAATCTCCATAACTTTCTCAATGATACAACAGCTTGAGACTCCAAGGCCAATGAGGGCAGCTGTGGCACCTGTCTCCATGGTCATCTCCTTCAGGGTCTTCCTGATGGTCTCCTGCACCTGTTGATTCCAAAACAAACCATCAATAGTACAGCGGGAGCTCTACCAACTTTCAAGGGTCAACAGGAGAAAGAAATATCTAGTTTGTCATCTCCATTTATTTACCAGGGCATGCTAAGTCCCAAGTTGACAGGGCTCATGGGGTCATAGTACTTCCTAAAGGTCTGTGTTCAATTAATTCCCGGCTGAGGCAGAAACAAATGGGCAGTTTCTTTTGCCTGGCACTTCAGCAGTGCCAGGAGGCAGGAGTCACACTGCAAAAGGCTCGCATAACATCAAATTGACTAAGTATTGGGAACAGGTTGAGGGCTGTAAGTGGTGTCCCAGGTTACAATGGTATAGGGAAGTTTAAAAGTAAACAAGACAAGATACAAGAAATAAGCGAAAGCGAGTAAAAATTTTGTGTTAGAAAAGTTTATATTCCACAACAAACGATCATCAGTAACAAAGATGGCTGCCACAACGGGGAAAGTAACACACCAACAGATGATTGTTTCAAAGGATTCTCAACACAAGCTAAACAAGATATAATGAAAGATGGTTTTCTTGGCAGGGTAAAGATTACTGAGGACCTGCTAAAGAAGTATGAAGAAAAAAAAACAGCGTTGAATGTAATGAAACACCATTTTCTGAGTGAGTCCCAGAGGCTCCCCGGTGCTATCCAGGCTGAATGGATATGTACAACTTTCTGGCATCAGTCAAGTGCTTGTAGTTCTTGCCTACCAGGAACCACGAGCCAGAACCTGGTTCCCCTCAGAGAGGCACGAGGAGCAATGGCCTATAGGAACCCCCCATGTGGTTGGGAGCATTCTATGTCTACCATCAACCAGGATAGGCACCCAGAGAGGTAGGTGCCCCAAAACAAACCCCTATTCTGGTGAAAATATTGCTACTGAAAGCCGAACGAGTGGACAGAACTCCCCAATCAAAATTATCAAACTAGCATGACGTCATCATGTCGCCACGCTGCTATCTGTGCAACCACCCCTTCCCAGGTGGGGGAAGGGCAAGCCCCAGACCCTCCGCACTGGTGATCCATCCGGAAGTTCTTAGGCTGGATGTCAAAGTACGCGAAAACACCGCCGACCAGGAGGGAGGGATGCCGGGGAGCCTCCGGGACTCGCCCAGAAAAATGGCATTTTCTGGGTGAGTGAGAAAAGAAGAGGGTCTACTGGTCAGACCTAGCAACCTGTTCTCACACAAGACAGCACTTATATGACTTAATGCTCAAAGTCAATATGTTGAATGTGATTTAGTACATATGTGATATATTTCCAGTTACCTTTTTTACCAAGGCCCAAACTCTTCCTCACGTACCAATTTACGTCTCACAGTACCCGTCCATCAACGTAGATGGCAGAATAGTTGTGATTGGTTCAATTATAATGAAAATTGTAGTTTTCAGGTCCCACATGGGTTGTGAAATTTACCTACTATTGTCCATGCTCTTAGAATATTACAGATCAGCTACATCCTATTGAAGGCTCGTAGTTTTGTGGGCCAAACTCCAGGGTGTTAGGGGCCTCAGTATTGAGCGAGCTACCAAGCCTGACGCACGCAGCATGAGCTCACAGCACTGCTGTTCAGCTTGTGACCACAGCATCGCCTGAAAATGCCATAATATACTTGTTCATGCTATTATGTAGCGATGGTATTATTACAGAAGACCCCTGACTGTGATAAAACTGACCAGGGTTCTGATAATAGCAGGATTGTGGTGATATTTGGCGCTGTGCGCCATGGAGGGAGGAGTACTGCTGTGGGAGGGAGGGTGGTGGCGTTGTCTTTTGAGTGTGTGTGGCCACCTTTTATTGACTGCACTCACCGTACCAGCTTAGTGGTTCGCTATGGTGAACACAAATGTAGATACTTATATATAACGTGTGTATAGTGTGAGATAACAGCAAGAGTAGGAGGTTGGGAGCCGCCATTTTGGTGAGGGAGGAGCGTCGTCTGCAGGACTTATCATGTTGTTTACTGATGACCACGATGGTCTTTGGGCACCATACCAGTTTACTTGTACAAGTATGGTGAATAAAACAGGTAGATATTTATATATAATGCGTGTATATAGCGTAATAACACCACAAACAGTATTGTTGTAGGAGAAATATTAGTGCGTCTGGCCTTGAGGGCGGCCGCCACCAGCCGACTGTGTGAGTAGCTACGTCTCTCTGCCTTTACTCACCATACAAGCTTAGATGTACAGTTATGGTGAACAAAACATGTAAATACTTATATATAACGTCTGTATATAAAAGCAAAAACAGTATGGTGGGTGGAGAATGGTGGCAAGTCAGGTGAGGTGAGGTGAGGGAGGGAGTGGCAGCCAGTGGCAGCCAGTCACTGCCTGCCACTGCCACTGCCACTCAGCATACCAACTTAGTGGTTTGTCATGGTGAACAAAACATCCAGATACTTATATATAACCTGTGTATATAGTGTAATAACCGCCGAAGTATCTGTTCACTGTTTGATGAACATAATTGAATCAACAATACGCACACCATATTTTTGAGTACAGCGATGATTCACTCATTTTATTATATAAATATATCACACTACACACTATTGAATAATATTACAGCAAAAAAACTACGAAAAATCAATCAGAGACATTGAAATAATTAGGTAATTATCTCTTTGTGGAAACTCTGGCCTGACAGCTGGCGATCAACATGGCCTGGGACGCACGCTCAGTCAGCGCCTGATTTTTGTCACACTTCCCCGCCCTATAGTGGGCAATGTATGCCACTTACGATTTTTTTATTATTTTTCCCGTGATCAGTTAACACAAATTAACAGGTTAGGAAGAAAAAATGATTTTTTTTTTTTTGGTATGCGCCTGTGGGTGTCAAATGGTATATAGCTATGCGCCATTTAAGGGTTAATTGGTTGAAATTGGTTTTAGCATTCAAAATCTAATTTGTTGATGTTAAATAATATAAGGTTCAAATTTATTAAGATACATACTTTAAAAACTATTTCTATTTGATACCAACAGTATCACGTTAAGAGAAGCGTCTCGCCTTGCTAACCCAAGTATAAAATATATAAAGAAACGGTGCAACTGTACTGGTATCTGCAGTACAAATATATGTCCCTATTTAAAGAAAAAATAAATTGCACCAATCACTGCCACCCCTCACACCAATGCAACAATAAGGAGAGTGATAACAGTGCTTCACATTCAACAATGTTAAATTATTTAACAGATGACGAGATAATGAACATTGGAACAAATGTACAGCACTCTGACCTTCATATAAAATCTGCATATGACCTCATCAAACAAACTGTGCCAAGCGTAGAAGGCCTTCATGACCCAGTGTTGTAGCGGGACCTCTCCTGGCCAGTTACAATTGGTGAATTTATTAAAATTATTCAAGTTGATGGTTGTCACTGGGTCACCGTTTCCAACATTGGAGTAACTGGACAAATTAACATATATGACACCAGGCATAAATTACTATCTAAATCTACTGCAGTTATCTTGTGTGCTCTTGCTAATTGCCAGGATGATAAGCTGATATGCAATATAATGAATGTCAGCAGACACAGGGACTCAAGTATGAGTGGGATATATGATGTGGCGTTTCTTGCATTACTTGCAAGTGGTGTAGATCCGGTGAACCTCGTATGATATGCAGAATATGAGACAACATCTTCAAGAGAACTTTAAAGGAAAGTGTCTCATCTCATTCCCTGCAGCTCAGACACTGAGAAGAAAACTAATCATCCGGTCATGCTCGATGGAAGTGTACTGCTTTGCAGAAAGCCAAATGATTTGAAGCTGATGGTATGCTGTGACCGTTGCAATATTTGGCACCATGGATCATGTGTAGGTGTTACAGAATGTAATGATGATTCGTGGATTTGTTTCTTGTGTGCTAGCAAGTTGTGAATTATAATTTAAAATACTTAATACATTATTATTATTATTATTATTATTATTATTATTATTATAACCTTACCAAATGCTTTGCTGAATCAAATAATGTTATTACTTTCAATGTGTTACAATAGCATAATTAAGTGCTGCAAGTGTCTTTTATATAGTCGGTATTTGTTATATTCTGTACTCTTTTTATGTTATTTAAATTTCAAATAGAAATAGTTTTTAAAGTATGTATCTTAACCCTTAACATGCTCGGGGTTTAATATCCTGTCATCCCCACAGGTGCATGTCATTTTGAAAAAAAAAAAATATTTTTTCTTCCTAACCTGTTAATTTGTGTTCACTGATCACGGGAAAAATAATAAAAAAATCGTAAGTGGCATATATTGCCGCTATAGGGCAGGGAAGTCTGGCAAACTATAGGCGCTGACTCAGCGTGCGTCCCAGGCGGTCTGTTGCTCGCAAGCTGTCAGGCCGGAGTTGCCACAAAGAGATAATTACCGAATTATTTCAATGTCTCTGATTTTTCATACTTTTTTTGCTGTAATATTATTCAATAGTGTGTAGTTTGATATATTTATATAATAAAATGAGTGAATCATTGCTGTACTCAAAAATATGGTGTGCATATTGTTCAAATCAAATCAAATCAAATCAAATGTTTATTTAGGTAAGGTACATACATACAAGAGATTTTACAAAGAGTGATGGATTTATAGATAGGGCTAGTACATACAATGCCTAAAGTCACTATTATGCAAAGAGCTTCGGGCTTGAAAAACTTAAATGACTAAAGCTTAATACTAACTGAGCATAAAGAGTAAAATGAAAACATGGAATGAAAACATAGCTGAAAAAGAAGCACAAATACAATTCTGTCGACAAACAGCGCTCTTTAAAAAAAAGACAGACATTGGTTGACAATAGAGGGGTAAGGTAGGTTACAGGGAATTTTTAGGTATAGCTTCGTTTTTATCTTAAACTGGTCGAGAGCGGTACAGTCTACAACATGGTTGGGAAGGTCATTCCACAATCTGGGTCCCTTGATTTGTAGAGCATTTCTAGTTTGATTAAGTCGTACTCTAGGAATATCAAAAC